ATTAATGATCCACAAGTTAAGTCAGTACCAATGTTTTATCCAAGCACTTTCGGTCTAAATTTTGCCATTTCATTATTCATTGTTTTACTAACTTCACATTATTCGCTAATGATAAATTTCGTAGAATATGTAAGCGTACCAATTGTTCAGAAAAGCAAGGATATACTTTGAGTGAGCGTTCCATTCCATTAACTTTCTTTTAAAAGCTTTTATGACAATATTGTAAAATTTGATTATTCAGAAATCGTGAGATGCGGTCTGGTGTGATGTAGGCTTCAGAAAAACATTTTCTTTATCGTGCCAACGTTTCGATTTTTATTATGGGAAAATTATCGGATTATGGGCACTCTCAGCACGACACACAAGAATGGCACACTTACGCAGAAAACAAACACTTTGAGCCCTGAAGATGATCTCAGTACAGATCGAAACGTTGGCACGATAAAGAAAATGTTTTTCTGAAACCTACATCACACCAGACCGCATCTCACGATTCTGAATAATCATCGACTAACGGTTACTAATCACCACACATTGTAAAATTTCTTTTAATTAATTGCAATTTTCCAAGAGGAATTAATTATAATTGTCCTATAATTCACTCAATTTACTCATTATTCAAATTTTGTTAAGATGTTTATTTTTAATTTTATTTTGAAAAAAATCAGTAGTGAGGTCAATTACAAGAAAACGCCCAGTTCCTTCCTTGAGTTTTTCAGGATTCCCTTTCATTAGTATTATGAAAATCTAATCAATTATAGTGTAAGTATATTTATTGAAGGGTTATCAATTAGGAACATACATTTTTCAATTTTGAATGTACTAGTGTAATAGTTGACAATAGGACCAGATCAATATGACAAGAACATTCTACAACGTTGACTGAGTTTGCTAAGGATATATCCCATACCTCAGGACTATCATACAATAATTAATTGTTCAAAAGGTTAACATATTTGAACGTAAATTTATAATTTAAAATTAATATGCAAGCGTACCAATTGTTCAGAAAAGCAAGTATACACTTTGAGAGAACATAATCCATTCGATTAACTTTCTTTTAAAATATTATATTTAATTGTAATATATTAATTGGTCAAGCGGACCATGAAATTAGTGAATTTAATTACTTTTAAAAGCTTTTATGACATTATTGTAAAATATCCTGCAATTAATTGTAATTTTCGAACAGGAATTATTTGTAATTATAAGAAAATGTAACTTTGTAACATGTTTATTTTTATTTTTTATTTTATTTAAAAAACAATCAGTAGTGAGGTCTATTAAAATTACAATAGACTAGATCAATATGATCAGGACATTCTACAACGTTGTTTGAGCTTTCTATAAATAACCCATTTCTCAGGACTACCATATAATAATTAATTGTTAAAAGATTAACATATTTGAACATCAATTCATAATTTAAAATCTTCAATGTCAAGTATAATAAAATTTAAAATTAAAATCAATAGAACTATAGTCGGTTACTTTCCTCTCTCTTCGGTCATGTATGGGGATCATGTTAGTCTTTTATCGTCCTAGGTAGCGCACAATATCTGAGATTGGAATATACCGGAATACAAGTGGATTTTCATAGTGTAAAGATTATGTGGGTAGATTTATTTTCGTTAAATTTTAGTCTCCATTTACGAGACAAAGACTGGGTAAGGTTAAAATCGAATTGGGCATCATGACCAGCTAGGGAAAGATCAGTGTAAGATGATGGGATGACTGTGTCGTCAGCAAAAGAACATGTAGTATTATTAGGGAAAACGGCTGCGTATATTGTGAAAAGGAAGGGACCTAGGATGCTGTCCTGGTGGATACGCGCTTTAATTGGAATATATGAAGAAAAAGTAGTGCGATGTTTTCACGTACAGTGAAATTAAAAATTGTAATTCTACAGAATATGTTCAAACATGACAATAAATTGTACAACCTTCTTTGAGCTTTCTATGAAAATATCCTCTTCATCAGGACTATGCAACTATAATTAATAATTTAAAAGGTTATCAAACGTTAACAACTATTTATAATTTTGAATCTATGGTTTTAATTATAATAAATTGAAAATAGAAAATCTACAGAGCCAGATCAAATATGACCATTACATTAAACAACCTTGTGTGAGCTTTCTAGAAATATATCTCCTTCATCAGGACTGAGAAACTAGTTACTTACAGTATATGTTGTAAAGGATTATCAATGATGAACATCAATTTTCAGTTTTAAATTTACGGTTTCAATTACCGACAAATTAAAAATTGAAATGCCATAGAACTAAAACAAACATGACTACTGCATTTTAGAACCTTCATTGAAGCTTTCTCAGTATATATCCCATTTCATCAGGACGATAAAACTACAATTATTAATTCAAGAGGTTGGCAAATCTATTTATAACATTAACCCATATATGTATTTAGTAGTCATAATTGACCAATTAATTATTTAAATTAAATATACTTTTTTTATCTAAGGTCTTACTCTGACATCTCAATTATGACCACAGATAAAGAAGTATAATTAATCTATTTATAATTTTGAAACTACGGTTTTAAATATAGTTAATTTAAAATCTGAAATTCAATAGAACTAGATCAAGCATAACTAGCAGATACTTCATCCACCTTTCATCTGACGACCTGAAGTACATAACAGGGTTTTGCAAAAGACACGAAGAAGAAAGAAAAGAATTTGCAAAAGAAAAGGAAGCGAAAGATGATTACAGCTACGAAAGATTCCTTGGCTCCGTTGATAATTGGTTTTGCAAATAATAATTGTTAATATCGTTAAATAATCGTTCTAAGAACAAATAATGCGGTAAACCAATTACGAAAACTGTTTCATCTTTAATTATACTAATAAATATAATTTTAAAACATAAATTCAGTTATTCGCTTACATTGGGATGATCATGTGTTGACATGTGTGAGTACATCTACAATGCGCAAGTTCTGTTTCGTTAACCAAATCAAGTACAAGGTTAATAATTTCTTTTATTTTTTTAATGTCTTCGGTGCTTAATTGCAACTCAAACTTTGACATGGTTTTATGGTTTCTCGTCAAAATTTGCCCTCTTAACGAAAATTAACCTTAAAATATGAAAACTTTCAGGCGTTTTCAGACCAAAACTTGTGATGACTGATTAGTTGTAGTTATGTTTTTATTTGCTTGCCTGTACAGAAAATACTTTAAATATGGTTATGAGAAAAAAGGGAAAAGGTGAGCTATAAAAATTTCGTAGGTTTCGACCCAGTGCATGCGTAGTACATTTAACACGGATATTTCCAGTGATTATGAAGTGAACAAAGAATAAATCACGGTTGTTTTCAGAAATGTTTTTCGGTCCAGCGGCTGGGTAAAGTATCAGGTTTTCCGGCAAAACTAGGTCGATTTTCCTTGCGCCATTCGGTTGCACAGTTGCATCAGTGAAAACCCGCGGGAATGGAAAATGAGACACCTCGGCTTGCCTCCAGTTTGCAACAGGTCTTCGCGAGCCGGGACCCCCTTGCGAAATAGTTGTGGCCTGGTGATGCAAGCTGGCGCTTTTTTACCTCGTGTATATTCTCGGCACCATGGAAAATCGTTGGGAAACTTTGGGCCGTTTTTTGTCAGAAACCACTGAGCTCCTCCCCCAACGGAGTGTGACCGCGGCGTCCTCTCATGTAAATCAAACCCGTCTTAAAAAAACCCAACAGTTTAATCGTTGTACTAAAAACCTAGCCTTTCCTCAACATTTTATAAACTTTTTGTCATCATTCGGGCTATATGAAAGCAACTTAACTTCTATAAAAAAATTCAAAATCCGCTGTCATGTTACCATAACCCATGTCTTCATACTATCACACAATACCATTGTTACGCAATCGACAATCATTCTCTATGTTTCAAAATTGTTTGGAATTAAGCTTTATTTGTTAAAAACTCAACAGGAATTGTTGCAAGTATACAAGAACAAAAATAGAACACTGAGAGATAGTAATCAAGTAGAAAAACTATCAACAGAAAGAACCTAAAAATAGCATAATTACTATATTAAACATTTTCACTCCTAAGGACACGGAGGACAAGGAGGAATTGGTAGAAAAGTAGTACCTGAGATTAGAGTGATATTTTGGGCTAGTGTTGAATCTTTTGCAGCTGGATCTTGCAACGTATTTTATGGAAGGTAAACATTTAGGTCATTATGGATAATACGGTTGGAAACAGAACTGGATGTTGACAATGGATCTAAGGATTCAAGATAGTAGGGACTGGATTCTGTGGAGATTGAAGGTTTGATTGCCCCACATATTAACTTTTATGTTATCTTCAATAACTTATTTCTATATTGGTTGAGTTGTTTGTTTTCTTTATTGTTGAGGGAGAGTTTAGTTCTGTTGTTTAGACTTAAAGTAATCTCGTTTCAGCCCAAGATAGCGGATGAATTTTAGGTAGGAAGAGATAGGTTACAATAGATTGTAAGTAGGGTGAAACGACTAAAGGTGTTGGTTATGTTTTGAATTTTGTATTGTTGTATTTGATTCGCCATTTTTTTATCTATTGTAGAAAGAAATATAGACTTGTCTGGAGGGTTCGGGATCGGAGAAAGAACGCCAGTGTCATCGGCGTATTAGGATGATAGTGCCCCGATGGGAAAGGAGGTTCGCAGTGAGTGCAAACCGAGCGACGCCCTGTCCGTCATGTACCAAGGAGAGTGAGAGCGTCCATATTCTAAAATACCTGACAGCTAGGTAGTACTTGAGGACGAGAAAGTGTTTAGAGAAAAGGATGCCCACGAATTTCCAAAGGAAGCTTCTCAATGGAGGATGAGATGGCACTGTTCGACAAAGGATGGTGGCGCCCATATTCAAATTGGTGTCCTGGAGTATTTGGTTTTAGATAGGTTTATCAAGAATCAAAAAAAGAAGAACAAAACCCTTTTTAAAACAATAAAACATTTTGAGATGTCTCTTTGTTGAATGAGAGAGATGAACCTGAAACTTGGTCCTTACCCATCATTTTGGACTGCCTATCCTCACTTTACAGATTTGGCTGACACTTTTCGGCTTTCATCTTCAGAGCTGTGTCAGTGTTATAAGCAGGACAAAGCGATTTATACGCCCAATCGACAAATCCTGAAATTTTATGTGTTTTTAAAACAAAACTTAACAAAATGTTAACTAAAATACTTCGGTAATAACTAAATGGCTAAAGGTATAAAACATAAAAAAATAATTATAATTTAATTTTAATGTATTAAAACAATATCATTTTTCGAATTAAATGGCTTCATTTTAAATGATTTAAACCATAATTCATAATAATGAAAAAATAAGAAAGTACGCCCCCCACGTTGTTTTTAATATTCCGTCAAAATTAAAAGTTATTAAATCTTATTTTCGTTAATAACATAATACTTACGATATATATAACGTTTTTCTTCCTTAGTGAAACTTTCCTGTATCCATGTTCCACTGCTAATATAAATACTACAAAATTTGTCAAACTGTCTTATATTTAGACTACTCCCAGCAATAATTTAATTGGATCCATTTTGAATAATTATAGACGCAAGGTAAAAAAAATCTACTGTAGATGATGAATTCGATATCCCTTTTTTTCCAATTTTCCTTTTCTCATCAAGCATTTTTCGTCTTAAATTGAACCAAATAATTCTCCACGACCACATGAAACATTGTTATAATTAATTCTGTTGAGCATTACGAGTCAGTTTACACATTAGTACTGCAGTCGTTGTATGTGTTGGTAAGACGATATTTTTTACAGTCGAATCTATTTAATTTTAATTTCTTCGTATAATATCCAGTTAATTAGAAAAAGTACAAACTAAACATAATACGCAGTTATTGCATTTTTCACGAAACACTCCAAATAACCTGCTAATACCTGAACTAGGAATGTTTTATAAAAATACTATTGCATTTTTAAAAAAATGATAAAACTTTAGCATACAGTTTTTGTATCTTTCAATTTTACACCTAATGATTATTCGAAAATCGTGAGATGCGGTCTGGTGTGACGTAGGTTATAGAAAAACATTTTGTTTATCGTTTCGATCTTTATTGAGATCATCTTCAGGGTTCAAAGTGTTTGTTTTCCCTGTAGATGTGTCATTCTTGTCGTGTTGAGGGTGCCAAAACAAACATTTTTAGTCCTGAAGATGATCTCAATAAAGATCGAAACGTTGGCATGATAAAGAAAATGTTTTTCTAAAACCTACGTCACACCAGACCGCATCTCACGACCTCCAAATAATCATTAAGTAACGGTCACTAAACACCATACATTTACACCTAATCTTAGATTTTGAATTAGTTAAGAATTTCCAAATATGTAACTTTGCAATTGGTCTCAATACTATACATGCATTGGTGTTCATGAACTGCAGACCTGCCAATGCAACTACAAAATTAAAAGTCAATGAACTTTCCGATCACATTACAATCCACAGAATAAGGTCTGTAATACACACCTTATTCACATACACAATAAACAACCTAATAGAAATAGACGTATATAGAAAACCCACAACTACAGACACTATGATACCAGCGGATTCTTCCCACCCATGGTCCCAAAAGGCTGCTGGTTTCATTTGGCTCATTGACCGGATGTTAAAACTTCCGCTAACACCTGATAACTATAATAAAGAATTAAAAACTATTAAAGTCTTAGCAAAAAACAACGAGTATCAAGAAATATTTATTGATAGGTTGCTAGTTAAAAGAATTAAAAAATTAACTTTAAACAAATCAACAATAGGGCTCAGCCACCCCACCACAAATGAATCATTAGGTTTCCGTTGTTTGCGGAACATTTGTGAATTATCGGAAAAAGTTAGTAAAATTTTTAAACAAGAAGGTTTTAGAATAGCTTTGAGAAGTACGGGTTCACTTAAAAACATCCTCTCAAAACCTAAAGACAAAGTAGACAACTTGGCAAAAAGCGGGGTTTACCAACTCAATTGTAATGATTGTGCTATTAAATATATAGCACAAGGCGGTAGAGAAATAAAAACAAGAGTAAAAGAACACTTGCCTAAATCGAGCAAATTTTCGGAATTTAAGGATCATCTAAAAGAAACAAAACATAATTTCAATTCAAATCTAAATACAAGAGTGTTACATAGTTTCAACAAAGGGAAAGAATTAGATTGGTTTGAGAAATGTGAAATTAAAAAATGTAAAATTGAACATGGTGATAAATGCATTAATAATATAACAGATTTTGATCTACCTCCCATTTTAAATATGTACATAAATAATATCAAACATCCAAATAATTAAACTAATTATTTTAATTGTTATTATTTCTATAGTAATGTAATAATATTAAGTGTTTACTAGTATAATATTTATTTGTGTTATAATTTCCGCGTTTCGCACGTTCAAATTGAGCGCCATTAAAAAAAATCAGCTGCTAATTGGAACGTCGCGTTGGCGGAGGTATCAGCGGGTTCACTTTGACAATTCATGTCGAGAGACGTGGTTGTAGAAGTCCTTCAACCTGATGATGAGCTAAAAGGCTCGAAATCCGGATCGTTGCAAAACAACTTACTGTGAGGAGGAACTATTTTTTTTAAAAGAACAGAATAAGGTCTCCTAGGAGCGGTAGCCCTAGTGTATTTTTTTTTTTTTTTAACTCGTCTATAGTAACTCTATAAACATGGATTTTATTTTTGGATTTTCAACCTGCTCCCATGCTGATTACAGGTTATTTTCCATTTACATTGCATTATGTTATTATGGTTAACATATTTATATATTAACAGTTAAAATGTTCCAGATAATTATTATTTATTTATAATTTAGTTATATGAATTTAAGGTGGCCCTTTCTTTATCAAATAATGTGCAGATGTATGTAATGTGCGTCCAGTCCTACATGGATACCTTGGATCGTACACGATGCTGAAGCGCGCTAGATAGGATCAGTTTTTCCCATGGTTTATAAGTGCCACTGTAGTCTTATAGGTGTGATCAATGATGATATCCATTCAGGATTAGATTGTCGGGAAGCAACTCCTGGTATATGCTGCATTCGTCGTCTCTGTCCATTCCTTCTCACAGATGCCTAGGGTAGGTACAGGGTTAGTGGGCTTGTGTCAGTGTAGGTGTAGCTGTTCGCAGTTTACCCTCGTGCCCGGGAGCAGAAGGGTTGAATTGTTTTGTATAATACATTATTATGTTATTTTGGTAACTACGGTAAAAGAATTTAAAATGTATTAATTGTTTATTGTCAATAAGAAAAGTTAAATTTTAGATAGAGTCCTAAAAACCATAATCGATAGTTTGGACTGACTCTAGAGATTTATATTATATTGTTATCGTTCTTAAAATACATTGCATAACATAAGCATAAATTTATTTAACTTAAATCTGATTAGTGTACAATTGAAAAGTGCTTGTTGTTTTAAAGTGTGAAAGAATATTGTGGATGTATTGCATTGTGGCAGTTTCTTGTGAGGCTAGAGTTTAAAGTGTTTAGGAACTTTATCCCACAGAATGTGACATCAGAATTCGAAAAAGAAGTAATGGCCGTAATTCGGCTCACAAGCGTATCCATCATTGTTCGTTTTTTACATTTTTTTCCCTCCCGAGGCTACAGCGCAAGATAATGGTGGTCACATGTTGGCTAGGACCACCGGTGCCAAATAGGTAAAGCCCAATTACGCCAGCTTTGAAATTCGGCGGCCCTTTCTGCTTGCTTAATTTCTGTTTTGAAAAGGCGGCCACTTCTGTTTTGCCGGCACTTTTTCCCTACTTGGATACGCTATGGGAGTCCGAACATTAATTAATGTGGAAAAAAACCTAAGGACACACGTGATGGCAGATGTGTCGACACACGTTACGTGATTGAACGCTTTCTTGGGAGATTCGTCGGTATTTTAAAGAAATGTTAAACTATTGCCTGAACCGCATTTGACTCTATTCACATCTTAACAATTGGCTCAAATAGTTCGAAATTGGATGTTCGACGAAGCTATTGATTCCGTTAGAAACCTGCTGACTCAAAACAATCCGCCAAATGTGACGATAATTAAGTGAATATTTCGAAGGGAAGTTAAGCATGGATAGTACTTTTTCCAGAAATCGTGGAAAGACAAATAAAGCACCTTTTGACTACAGTCCACATTATCTAATATTTCAAAGATCAAGTATGGGTGCTCACTAAGTCCCATACTTTACGTAATATCCAATAATTATCTTGGAGATGTTCCATGCCTAAATATCATTTTCGTCTATAAAACTCCTTGCTTACACAATTTGGTTACATTTAAACTTTGAATATACATATGTACGAAATTTGACTTAACCTTTCTTAAAATATTACAATTAATTAAGGTTTTTAGTTGAGACCAAAAGTCAATGGCACGAGCGGGATTCGAACCCACGATCTTCGGCTAGATACGCCGCTGCTCTACCACTTGAGCTATCGTGACCTCGATCCACTCGGACACTAACTTCCCATCTCAACCTCACCTTTTGAATTTTCCCTCCTTTTTGCCAATTTTTAAATGTCGTGTAATCTATTTGATTCTCGGAGACAAATGAAATGGCCACGGAGAGCTTTAGTGAAGTATACTTCATTTTTCATCATTAAATTCACTAATTAAGTGGTCCGCTTGACCAATTAATATATTACATTTAATTAAGGTTTTTAGTTGAGATAAAAAAGTCAATGGCACGAGCGGGATTCGAACCCACGATCTTCGGCTAGATACGCCGCTGCTCTACCACTTGAGCTATCGTGACCTCGATCCACTCGGACACTAACTTCCCATCTCAACCTCACCTTTTGAATTTTCAGATTTTTGATTCAGACTTTGAATTTTGAGATGGGAAGTTAGTGTCCGAGTGAATCGAGGTCACGATTGCTCAAGTGGTAGAGCAGCGGCGAATCTAGCCGAAGATCGTGGGTTCGAATCCCGCTCGTGCCATTGACTTTTTTGTCTGAACTAAAAACCTTAATTAATTGTAATATATTAATTAGTTAAGCGGACCACGAAATTAGTGAATTTAACTTTCTTAAAATGTGTGGTGTTTAGTGACCGTTAAATAACGATTAATTGGAAATCGTGAAATGCGGTCTGGTGTGACGTAGCTTTTAGAAAAACATTTTCTTTATCGTGCTACGTTTCGATCTGTATTGAGATCATCTTCTGGCTCGAAGTGTTTGTTTTCCGTGTAGATGTCATTCTTGTCTGTCGTGTTGAGAGTGCTTTCTTAAAATAAAATTTTACATTTAAAAGTGTTGACAAACGGTCCAAAAATGAAAAATGGTTTCTAAGATTTTTTTATTTTTCAATCAAAATAAAAATGTCTATAAAGATTACGTTTAGATTTAGTCTGGCTGAATTAAGGAAATAAACTACGGTATTCCTGCAAAACTAGATCAATACGTTCAACTTAGTATTGGGTTGTCCGGAAAATAATGCAGGATTTTGGTATTAAACAAAAAAAAAGAAACTAGTTACTTTAAAGCAATGTTCTTTAATCAAAANGGTCTGGTGTGATGTAGGTTTCAGAAAAACATTTTCTGAAACCTACATCACTCCCGACCGCATCTCACGATATCTGAATAACTATCGATTAACGGTCACTAATCTCTACACACTTAGTAATACTATGCAGCATAAGTATGAAGGAGTAAACACCTGCCCACGTGATAAAACCCTTAAGATATTTTTGCAACATATTC